GTATACATCTACATTGATTATTTTCTTAAGAAGTTTACTTTAGTAAATACAACTGTTGATCAGTAATAATAAGACTTCTCTCGATCGAGTTTATGAGATTCATGCTGAATACCGCCGTGACTTTGAGCTGTCCCTATGGAAAATAAAGTCCTCCAGAGCTTGAAATCAGACAGATATTTGCTATACGGGTATGTGCCGCCCTATAGGGTATGGTTTTACGGCTTTTGGGTCTGGGGTAGGGTATCATTTTTTGACATTTTGTCTGGGATAGGGTATCAGATTAGTCTGGGATAGGGTTAACGATTTGGTCATTTTTGTCTGGCGAATAGGCTACGCTTTCTGCCGGCACAAAAACAATAAAAAACGTTAGTAAATATTGATTGCAATCTATTGAAAAACTGTCTTTTCCTTCTTTTAGTCTGGGATAGGGTGTACAATTCTTAGTTTTAGTCTGGGGTAGGGTATGTAAAATCAAAATTTTAGGTCTGGGATAGGGTCAGGCTTTTGAGGTCCTGGCGGCACACCCCTACCCAAGTTGGGGTGGTAGTACCCCCCCGGGCCAAAATGACCGATATCGTAATCCTGTAAAGCACAACCAAATTGCCTCTCCACAGCACAACGAAATAGACTCCACCTTTTAATACTACTGTAAAAATTGATTTTCACAGGACCTCAAATAAACCGAAAATTCACATATTAATAGTTGTAGATCGGCGAGAGCACGTGACAGTTGCGTGAGGCGTTGTGAAGTATGTGTCAACACCATGACGAGCAAATGTTAACGAAATAATCTCTGCTGAACTATGACGCATACTGAAATTTTTCTGAATGTCATCACCGCGAATATTTGAGCTACGAGAGACAACTTGAAGGTTTAGAGACACAGTAGATTAATTGTTTAAAGGTTTTCGAGTACTGTAAGTCAGTTATAATACTTTATACATCAACCTACCTTATAAACTTCCGACTTCGTAATTGTCAAATCCAATGCTAAATTTCTTAATGAACGTTCCATCGCACTATTGAGACTCCGTTCGCCTTATTGTATGCCTGTTCGCTCTAATGACAATGCTTCTTCGCTTCAAYKAATATTCCTTTGCGGTTAATGAACAGCAAAAGGTGTAAGTATATAACAAAACGGCACAGAAAGCCCAAGAGAAAAGAATCCAAGAGTAAAGAATCCCAGTCTCGTTTCCTATGTTTTCATGTGGTTCGTACATTTGTAAAGTACTCATTATCATAGCTGCAACCAGGGAATACGTTTTTTAGTCATTTGGGTCCTTTTAGCTTTCCTTTCTTTACGACCGTCATAATTATGCTGAGAAAAAGACTCCGTTTGGAACTTCAATTTTCCAAATCCGAACTACCGTTGCAAGTAACCTCTGTCATGCATGTATGTGGCCACTGCCAAATCATAGATCGAACCCTGAAACAACGTTACTGATCAAAGGCAAGGGACGTCTGACTCTCACAGATTGAATAGCGCAGCGCGCTGATTCTAAAAATAGCTTAAAGATTCGGACAAACATTGCTATCTGTTTAACCGCTACGAGGATTATACGAACCGATTTTATTATTTTTACTTAAAGTTACAATAATAACTCATGTAAACTAAGATCAACTGCGATCGGCTGTGAAAATTATCTGCCGAAAGTAAACTTGTAAGTTTGTTTGTCCGAATTTCGCCTTTGTCTTCGTTTTTATGACGTCACGGCTGTGCTGCGCTATTGGAGTCCGCTAGCTAGTCTAGTTAGGTTTTGCGACAGGAAGGAGGAAAATGGGGAGAACACAGATCGCCACTGAAAACCCTCAAATCAAGAAAGAGACCTAACAAGCTCTACTCACACGTCATGCCGAAGCTTGGAATCCAAGATAGAAGGTGAAAAGCGCTACGCAACCCTTAAATAAGTAATTCCCATCAGAATTTAGAGTCATATAAGCCTGAAGCGAGATGACGTTTTACCCCCGTCTCTAGACCATAATCCTTTTCACACTGCTTTTGTTCTTTAATTATGACTATTGTTCCTGTATTCTCTAAGGAATCAAAAATTTTAATATGAAAGATTTTTTACAACTATTATGGTATAGAGACGGGGGTAAAACGTCATCTCGCTTCAGGCTTATTCATCAACCGTTTAATCTTTTATTAAGTCAAGGATAGCTCAATTTTGGATTTTTTATGCTAATTGTTTACTTTTTTCTTCAGTTAAATTATAATAGTTCAGTTTAATTAGTATTATTAATATTTTATAGTTTTTAAATAATTAAGCTATGGTGAAGCTATTTAGCAGTTTGGTGAAAAAATATTGATTGTTATTTGTGTATTTATTGTTTTACTTTCCCGCGTCTTCAACGGGACAATGTAATTATATGCTAAACATGCAAGCAAAGCTGGAATCTTGTCCATGCAGATAGATTACTCGTGATACATATGTGTTTGTTTTCTGATCATCGAGCCAGTGATGCTGTCGGACAAGAACCATCTGCGAAAATCATGATAATATATGTTTATTAGTTGTTTATAAGAAAATATAATTATTGCTTTGATTTAAATTTTTTTAGCTGTGTTTATAAAGTTGCAATTTTGACGACGTAGCATTCATCATCAAGATGACATAATTATAGTCTTATGATGTTATCAAATATGTTATGACTACAGTTATTGTGACGTGATATTATAATCAGCAATGTCAAATATTATCGAGAAGCCACTATTGGCGTAAGCATAGTGATGGTTTGCATCTATTGCTTACTATCAATCACGTGACTTTTTGGAGTTGACTGGGGGGCAAACAAGCGGTTGACTGGGGGGCAACTAGCGGATGCTAAGTCAAAACATATCAAAATAATGCCTCAAACATGGCTGCGATGACGTAACGTGCAGAAGAGGAATTGTTAAGGTGATGTTGTTATTTTATATCATCAAATTTTAAGCAAGAAAATAAAGTGAAAGTAAATCACTTAAAGCTCCGAGAAAACTCTCTTTTGTTGCGCAGTTTTTTAGCCATTTTTTCCTTTTCGATTTAATAGTAAAAACAATATCTCAGCGTTACCTGACTTATATTCACATATGATGCCATATTTGCTTTCACCATCCGTTGCTGTAAAAGCCCCAGGGGATCCCTCCTTGGGCGTGCCAGACATCATGGCGTACTTCCCATCATCAGCAGGTTCGTTAGGAGCCCAGTACGATATCGCCAAGGGTTCACCGTTGACCCATTTCCATTTGCCGTCATTTAGATCCTTCTTTAGCCCGATATACCAGCCGTTATTGTATTGGTTGTACGCCAAGTGTATTAGACTCTTAATGTATTTAAATTCACCCTCTGTTTCTATGGAAACGAGGTCACCACTGTCGTATCCAGCACATACTTCTTGTCCTCCTTTCCATGAAGTACCGATCAGCCTCAGCATGTAGCAGGTGTTTTTCCCTGTAAACTGTCCTTCAGAAGGTGGCACGGCTCCTACACAGTTAATTCAATAAAACCATGTCACATGTCAGGTATCCCTTTAGCCTCCTAGTACGCAAACGTTCTTAATGTCTGTCACGCGACGTTTCCCTTCAACGTTTCCCTCCAACATTTTAGGCCGAGTCCAGAGGTTGTTTCAGGGTATTGATAAAATAAAGACATTGTACTAAAACGTACTAGCCCCCTTTCAAACGTTTATGTGAGATATGCTTTACCTGTTGTTTTACCGCCTGGGGCTTCTGTCACACCAGGAGTGCCTGAGTAAAGAAAACGGCCATTAATTTGTTACACCATTACAACACAGAATAAATGACGAATCAAGTAATTATCAAATCTGTCGTTATAGAAATTGATATCGTCAAAGAAATGAAATACTGACTATTTTTATGAACTACTGTTTTACCCGTTGTTGCAGCACCAGGACCTTTGGTAGGAGGGGGACGAACTCCTGTTAACGAAACAAAAATTCAAATTACGAAATTATGAAAAACAAGTATTTATTATCGACGGACGAAAAGGATATTTCGTAAATATCCCGAAAAAGACGTGTCGTGTCGTGACCCAATAAGTGTTTTGTCGGAATATTTGATTGGATGAAAAGTAATCTCGCTCGTAGTCGGATTGGTTCAAAAGATGTCGTGAATTCCACTACCGTGACAGTGACAGTAACGTAAGTGTTACACAGTAACAAACTTATGGACGTAAAGAAGGAAAGGACAAAAACGTACCTCCTTTGGGAACGAAGCACCATTTTCTGCCTTCTGCTCCAAAAAAGTCAACGCCTGGTTCAGACATGAACATATCGTCATAGCAACAGCCAGCGTTCAGGCATTCCTCAGGGGTCACGAATGGGGTCTTCAGGTCTGCGTTGCAATCTTCACGTTCCGATGAACGGATATCACATTCTGGTTCTAAAGCGACCAAAATGAGAAATGAGTTCAATTTTAGGAGGTCGAACGTCGTTACGGCTGTCTAACTATATTTCTTACATTTTCTCTTTCGATAGTGCTAGACTACTCATCAGTACCTTTCCATCAAGTCCCCGGTCCCAGAATACTAATCCATTTAATATCGCATGTGAACAAATAGGATGTGTCCCTACCTGGGTCTTTACGCGGTAAGACATTTTTTGGAGCCAGTTCAAAATAATCCACATTAGCATGCGAGGCAGGTGCATAATGAGCTG